AACATTGAACACTGAAAATAAGGGAGTTTCCCGGGATCCATCCCCAAAATAAGGGATTTTTTTTTTTTACACGATTCTTACCCACAAACTTTTAAAAATAAAGCACTAATCCTTAAAAGTCTAAAGAGTTAATAACTAGCCTAGAAACTAGTGTCATTTAAAAAAAAATCTATTTGGATTAGCGGTGTGTTGCTCTTGCCTTTGCGACAACAATTTCAACTGTTATCACATCTTCCAAAACCCACAAAATATGGAAGTGGGCTGTCTGTTTATTTCAATTACATTTACACATTTTGTGTAGTTTTAAAGAGCCTATATTTAGCCTGGTGGTGGACCGTCACTCAGAAGACAAACTGTTGTTATTGTAGCCTATCGTATCTTTATATCCTCCTGAGGCCCAGAACGTTTTTTTTCCAAAAGTTTTTTCTTCTTCGTCGTGTAATCACATTGTTAAGAGCATAAAAAAACAAATGGAAAAAAAAGAAAAGATATTTTATTCATATGTTATATGACCTTAAATTATATATAGGCAAAACTAATGGCAATATAAATCGATTATTATAATTATTTGTTTAAATTACATTGATATCTGAATATGTAAAAACCTTGACTTTCAAACATCAAAATGTAAAATGTAGGCTATTCGAGTACAAATGACATATAAACATCGTTTCCTATTTTTTTATTTATTTATTTTGCCTGGAAACGCTTTCAACACGCTTGCATGTCGCTTGAAAAAATAGGCGTCAGTTCTATTTATAGCATGCACGCGTTTTCTGGAGACGCGCGTGTCACGCAGGCAGTGTGCAAGCTCTAATCTGTTAACATGGGAGCCGAAATAAAAACGGACACGCCACACAGCCAGTGTGTCTCCGGCCAGCGCGCGCGGCGCCGCATCCGAGGATAAACGACTTCAAGCCGAATCAGCCCGAGCTCGAACGTCTCACACAATCATAGTAAAAAAACGGGATATTTTACGGGAAGATACTAAAACGGGAAGACAGCGGGAAAAGAGCAAAAATACGTGAGAAACCCGGAAAAAACGGGAGGGTTGACAGCTATGGGTTAACTAAGAAGAAAATTTACAATTTACAATGCAATTTATTGCATTCTTAAACCATCCTTTTTTCTTTACCTTTTCCACACACATCTCCTCCAGCTCATCAGGCAAATGGAGGCAGGAAAACATTTTCTCTAAGATTAGAAAACTAAGCATGTGGTGAAAACACACAAAAAAACTGTATAGAGTGACATGGCTTTTGTTAGCAACAATATTTTTTGCAATGTGAAACATTGGAATGATATCCCTTGAGCAGGGAATGACCTCTTGGAAAGGATCCAGAGGTTATCCAATTTGGGAAATTTGTTTATAAGAGTACTCCATTTTAATGACATCATAGTCTTGTACACATCAGACCATGCTTTCTGCACTTTGGTTGGGTACAGTATGCTCTTGGATGCCCCATCTCTTTCCTAACTTAGCTGGCAACTCCTTCACAGATCTCTGCTCTAAACCAAAGTTTTTAGTGTCCACATTGGCCAAAATTCCCTTCTGGAAGTGCACGACTTTCATTTGAACTCCGCATGAGAGTAGGGCAGTGCGGAGGAGAGCGCTAGCGCTGGGCTTTCTCCTGCTCTCTGAGGAAAGGCAGACAGCCCGGCCTGCTAAGAATCCCAAGCTTCCCACAATCCCTCAGTGTTCCCTCCCATGATTTGTTTGACACGAGCAGTCTCAAGCCCAGTGCAGTGACCGTGGAGTGACCTTGCAGACATGGCCGGAACTGGCCAAGTAGTGGCTGGATTACTAAAAATAAATCGAAGAATTAAATAAAACCTTTTTTAAATTTCGCATTTTTGGTTTTGAAAGAGAAAAGAGGACTATAAAAAGAATAATGCATAAAAGACAATCAATTAATTGGCTAATGGCAGTCGTGGGTTAAGGGTTAGCGAGTCCGACTGGTAACCCAAAGGTTGGACACCCTGCATATTGGCTGTGTGTGTGTGTGTCACGGTTTGCAGTGTGTCTCTGTGTTCATTACTCACTACTCCTATTGTGTGTGCACTGACTTGGATGGGTTAAAGGACAAATTCCGAGTATGGGTTACCATACTTGGCCTTCACGTGTCACTTTCACTTCACTTTAAAAAGAATAAACTCCCTGAATGAGTCTCATACAGGCTGGAACATCTGATCATGACTGATCACTTTGGCTCTGTTGCCCGGATGAAGTCCATCTGAGAGGCTGCACAATGGTGTGTGGAAAGCCGCTTTCTGCTTGAGCCAATCCCAAGAGGAAAATAAAGCCGTAACAAGGGGGCTTTAGTTCGGGCGATGGTCGACCTATTGAGAAGAAGTAATTACCTTTATTGAGTGCACATAGTTTTGACTGACAGCCGCAACAAAAGGAGGTATGAGGGAAATCGCAAAAAAGAGAGAGAGTGAGGGGGAAGATATAAAGATTGGGAGAAACTGGGAAACTGAGGCTAAAGTGGAGGGTGTGAAATGCGGATCTGCAACCGAGTCGGCTCGTTGCTGCACTGGAGCCACAAAATGCTGGCCCAAACTTCACTGGGAGGTCCAGTGATTGACTGCCAGGAGACTTTACACTGGAGTGCTGGTGGGAGAGGGTGGAGGGACTGAATACCTGAGGCATGAGGGAAGAAGGGGGGCTTTTCTCCTTTTCTAGATCTGAGCTGGCACACGGAGTCACAGTCATCCACTAATACTGTAATTAGGCCTGATTTGTAGCCAGGTGGGTGCGGACCAACACCGTCATGAGACCTTTCATTTGACCAGACAAATTAGAGATATAGACATAATAGGCAGGAGTTGTGGGCTCAGATGAGAGCTCAGATTTCAGACCACGAGCATTCTGGATAGCAGTGACCTGCCTACTAGACAGTAGGTGTGCTCCGAGTGTAAAGTCTGTTACAGAATGTCCTAACCTATATGCTGCGTTTGAAATGCATCATTTATGCAACCTTTGCATATATCCTAGAGAGGCAATTCAATGTATTGGAAAGCGGAAGGGAAAATAAATGTTGACTATAAATGTAGTCTAAATCAAAATGATGTTCCTGTCAAGAAAACGAGCATGATTAATGTGATTGTCATCCAAATGTTTTCATGTGTTTTGAAGTCTGACGCGTTTCGGCTTGTTTCCCTCAGCTATGTGGTGAACATGGGCTTGATCGACAAGCTGTACGGCTGTTTCCTGTCCATACAAGGGCCGATCGACGAGAGTCCCAAAATGGCTGCCTTTTTGGAGCAAGCCACTGCTTTCCTCCATGGGATGTGCAAGTTGAGTTTTGGCATGACTGGGCGGTGAGTGGTTTCTAATGTTACTTTACTTCATTTGTCTCCAATATCTTCCTTTATTTGACATGACCATAGACAGTAAAAGAAATGGACAGAGCCATCTCATTGGAACATTTGAAGCCCGTTTTTGGCGATTTTTTTTAGCTGACGCGTGACTGCGTAATGTGACGAGAGCAATCCATCTGTCTTCTAGTGCTGTGGCATGAGAAATCTGTAGGAGGAGCTGTCCATGAGCTAGGAGAAGGAGACAATTCTGCTAGGTATTCTGATTATTTTGTCATTTTGCCTCCACGTTTCCCCGATTGCGCGTGAGCTTCTTCTCCTGTCCATACGGTAATCTCTCTACTGTGCGACAGAGAGTCGCGTGGGTATGACGCAATCGTTAGCCTACTTTCACTAAAACTGCTTCTACGGGGCCACAACATAAGCTACAAGGCATTTTATACATTGTCGTATTTCTTTAGAAATAAATAAAGGACAAATGGGGTCTTCAAACGCCTCAGATGTAAAGTTATTCGCTGTCAAAGTGACGCCAAAATGAATGGGAGTCAATGGGAATGCTAACGCAAGTGAAGTTCGCCTACAAGATGGCAGCTCCCGCGAGGCTTCAACTTCCGGTCGATGGATTACCCCCTTGGACATGACCCTCCAGTCCACTTACAAAAAAACATGGTATATACTAGGACTTTCATCATAATAGTGGTATTCTTTGAATTACATTGAAAATATAATATATATATACTATTTATGTTATTTGGGTATGATAATTATTCAGTACCAAATGGGAAAAATCAATCTATCCACCATATGATGCCATCACTATACCATGATTCCTCCATAGTATCTATTTTTAGTAGTCGCACCCTTCCCAAACATCCCCAGACAAGCAGATAACCTCATTCCTTTCTAAATTAATAGGTGAAGTCCACTGTAGTTTTGTTGTTCTGATGTGTGAGGAGGTGCAGACCAGAGACAGCAGTCCCATCAATCAGCAGCTCATTTCCCAGTGTCTGACGTTAGCCCTGCAGAGCCTGTGCTGATAGTCATCTAGCGACCCCGCAGCTCTGTCTCCTTGCACTGTAAACTCCTGCCTGCAGCCCACCCACGTGTGTGTCGGAGTGCGTTTTGTGCATGCACAGCTGCTGACAGAGGCTAACCACGCAGTCAAAGCTTGCGATATCCCGACTTTGACCTCTGACCCTGACTTGCAGAAAAGACAGATCACTGTGATGCTGCACTATTGCTTTCTACATACTTTAAATTGCATTGTAAACATTTTAGGAGGGATTGTTTTTGTACATTGTGATGTTGAAATTCTGCTTCAGATTCTGTCTGGGCCTGATAAGGTTTATTAAAAGGTAGAAAAGAAAGTGCTACTGATGTGTTTCAGAAAAACCTTGAGTCTTTGCATTTGCAAAAAAATCGATTTTTACATGCAAGTCCATTCCAGTTCACTTGGATTTTGGAGTTTCTTCAAAGGTCCTAGCTCCACCTCAATTGGCCAGCCATGTTCTTTTCCAGCTGTTGCATGCTATGACGACATCCAGCTGGTTGTGACAACTCCAGTGTCTCTCCCAACATCCTTTGGCTTCTGACACTGAATATCTGTGAGAAACTCCATTGCCCTTTTTTCTCTTTAATAGTCCTGCTCAACGACAAAATCAACATCTTTCATAATCGAATCAGCGTGCCATTCTGTCATTCTTCACCTTGCTGAAGGCCAGGAATTTGTCCCTTTGTGGTTCGTGTTAGACATTTCCGAATTGCTCTACTCTCTTGCTGTTTCCAGAGCCTGCGATTCGTTCTTACAGCGAGTGCTTTGTATTTCTATCACCGGCTACCGGTGTATTTGTTGGGATTAATATTCATTCATTAATAGTCATCAACGGCAAATAAAAGTCAAGGAGTGCTTGTGCTAAGCTAACGATGGCGAGTTAACATGAATTGTGGCCTCTGTTGCAATCAAAATGGATTGAAATGGTGGTGCCAATGCTAAATTCTCCTGGAACGTTGATCAGCAGAAGCTAGAGGAGCGCTCTTGGTGTAGAGTGATAGGAAGTTAGAAAGAGAGAGATTGGGAAATGGCACAGGACATTTTCGGATGCGGACCACATTCCCACCAGATTGTCATGGCTCCAGTAGGGTTTTAGGGACCTTGACTAATTTAGAAACCTCAAGTCTTTAAATTACCCCTTTCCCTCTAGGAAATTGTTTGAATGCAAATCAAAGTTCCAGGTGTGCTTTGTCACGTCCTTTCTAAATCGAGTAGACACTAACAGCATTACCACAGGTTTAGCTGTAAGTATGGATTAATCAGATGACGCTGATTTGGGGTCAGTAGGTAGACTCAAATTGCCTCTGTCAGGCCTTTCACTTTCATCCCACACTGCTGTCTCCTGTTTCAGGGTCAGGAGATGTGAAGCACGTCATGCACAGTCACTCTATGAGAACCAAGTCTTTGTTCCCTCATGTAGACACTGATCGTGACTGTCGGTGGATGCTGCCCTTATCATCTGACCTGAGACCAGCTCTGGGGATTTTCTTACGCCGGGTAAGGTTAAACGTGGGTGAGGAGCGCAGAGCTGAGATCAGTCGAACATGGTGGCTTCCTCCCGGAAGCTGATTCTGAGTTGCCGATCTCTTGCACTTGGTGTGATCTCATTGTCGAGAGTGAGGTTTCCCCCTCACCAAGCTTGACGCTCCTTTCCCCCCTTGACTTCTCAAAAGGTCTGTTTCCCCTCCAGTGCATTTAGTGTACTGTTCACAGATGTGTCCTCAACTGCAATGTGACACCTTGTAGAACTTGCCGCTTTTAGGCTGTTTAGGGATCAGCCCTTGATACCAATAGGCAGACTCTTGCCGTTGCGCAGTAACAGAAGATCTCGTCTCAGATCAGCTTAAGGACCGCTTCTGCTCATACCCTGAGGGATATGAAGTTACCAATCCTGCTAATCTGCAGGGTGTTGTCCTGACTAAGACACACAAACATGCTGCTGTAAATCTGGTAAGATGGGTCTTAATTAAATGTCCTGCAACACAAGATAGCCAGAGAGTAAGGCGAGTTTGCATAGTTGTGGAGCCAGTGCTTTTGGCTGACAGATGGTTGTCCAAGTTCCAAGACTTCCCTCTACTTCGGCTCTACTGTTGCTGTGTGGAGCGCTCCAGTATGTTTATTGGTGTATGAGATGTTTGCTTAGAGGCTCAACTTCAGTTGGTGGTTTGTCACATTTTTAGATCTTGTCCTTACCTTGCCTCTACGTCTATCTCTCCCTACATTTTAGATATTCATTCTGCTTATCTGTCAATTTCATTCCATCAACACTTTACATTTTTTCCATGTTGGTCACATTCTTTTAATTAGTGGATATCCTGAGTATCTCTCTGTACATTCCATATACATTCTATACATCTGTTCACCACATTCTATCCATCTCTATACATTCTATATACATTCTATACATCTGTTCACCACATTCAATCCATCTCTATACATTCTATATACATTCTATACATCTGTTCAGTGTTCACCACATTCTATCCATCTCTATACATTCTACATACATTCTATACATCTGTTTACCACATTCTACACATCTCTATACATTCTATATACATTCTATACATCTGTTCACCACATTCTATCCATCTCTGTACATTCTGTATACATTCTATACATCGGTTCACCACATTCTATACATCTCTATACATTCTATATACTGTATATTCTATACATCTGTTCACCACATTCTATCCATCTCTATACATTCTGTATACATTCTATACATCTGTTCACCACATTCTATCCATCTCTATACATTCTGTATACATTCTATACATCTGTTCACCACATTCTATCCATCTCTGTACATTCTATATACATTCTATACATCTGTTCACCACATTCTATCAATCTCTATACATTCTATATACATTCTATACATCTGTTTACCACATTCTATCCATCTCTATACATTCTACATACATTCTATACATCTGTTCACCACATTCTATCCATCTCTATACATTCTATATACATTCTATACATCTGTTCACCACATTCTATCCATCTCTATACATTCTATATACATTCTATACATTTGTTCACCACATTCTATCCATCTCTGTACATTCTATATACATTCTATACATCTGTTCACCACATTTTATCCATCTCTATACATTGTAAATACATTCTATACATCTGTTCACCACATTCTAACTATCTCTATACATTTTATATACATTCTATACATCTGTTCACCACATTCTGTCCATCTCGGTCCATCTCTATACATTATATATACATTCTATACATCTGTTCACCACATTCTCTCCATCTCTATACATTCTATCTATATACATTCTATACATCTGTTCACCACATTCTATCCATCTCTATACATTCTGTATACATTCTATACATCTGTTCACCACATTCTATATATCTCTATACATTCTGTATACATTCTATACATCGGTTCCCCACATTCTATACATCTCTATACATTCTATGTATATTCTATACATCTGTTCACCACATTCTATACATCTCTATACATTCTATGTATATTCTATACATCTGTTCACCACATTCTAGCCATCTCTATACATTCTATATACATTATATTCATCTGTTCACCACATTCTATCCATCTCTACATTCTATATACATTTTATACATCTGTTCAACTCTCTAATACATTCTTTTCGTTCATTTTATGAATCTGTCCACCACATTATAGCAGTCTCTCTGTACATTTGTCCATCACTCTCTATCCATTATATAGCTCACATTGTCCATCACATTCATTTTATACATCTATAGGTTCATGCTTTATGCATTTAATGCATCTGTTTATCAGTCTATCTTGGTATACATTCTATACATTTGTTCTGTCCATCACATTATATCCACCGCTCTACACATTAATAGTAGAATTGTTCATCTTTTTCTATCCTTTTTTTCCTTCTCCTGAATCTCTATTTTACTTTACCTCACACTTTGTTTCTTTCTCTCTGATCTCCAGTCCCTGATCCCAGGCTCAGAAGTGTAAAGTCTTTCCTATCTCTCCTCATATATTTGGCCGCAGACACACCGTCTTAGTGTTCATTCCTGGCTCGGGCAGGGCCAAATGTTACCAGTTAGTCCTATTTGCCCCCTAGGCATGATTCACAGATGGGGCTTGCCTTCGTTATTTATATCAGAAAGGACAGGCTCTGGTCTGGCGAGTAAATCTAGAAGCCGCAGGGACCAGACATCTCACACTTCCTACATCCCGGGTCTTCGGTTTTTGTTGCTTAAGCAAGTAACCAGCACCACATCAGGTTCTGTTACATTCAGACCACTCCTTTGGCCACCTTTTGCCACACTTCCCCTCTGCACTAGAACAGCCCTGTGCTCTACTTACTTTGTTTGAAAGGCCAGTGATTCAGATTGAAAGGTGCATAAACATGAGGAGCCTTCTTTCACTGGCCTGATACAATGAGGAACACCTTTGGCCTTGCTAATAGAATTAGTATACAGAACAGTATTTCTGACCCTGATTTGTTTTTCATTCCTGGTTGACGGGTATTACCTGTTGAACAAAGTGGTCTTTTGTCCCACATCTTGTGTGATTGATCTTGTTAGTTTATATTTGAGTAAGAGCACATTTCTACACAATTTTCTGAATGTCTGTTGCTATCTCTCTTCATGTGTGCCTTCATTTAGGTTTTGTTCAGATTGGCATACTACCAATGAATGTAATTCTTTCCCCTTTAATTGTCGTTTTCAGTTCTCTGAGTATCTTTGACAACAAACGTCAGGACCCTACCGGTTTGACAGCCCTCCTGCAGAGCACTGATCTGGTGGGCGTCCTTCACATGCTGTACTGCATACTCCTCCACAGCGCTCCCCCTGAGCCTCTCTCTGTCGGCCCCACGGGCCCCCAGGGGCCTTACAGCTCCGTCGTCATCCAGGTGGCCCTACAGGGGTTACGCTTCCTCAACACCTTCGCCCTGCTGGACCTCTCAGCCTTCCAGGTATTAATTTCCGATGTTGTTCTCTTATGTCATAGATGTGTCAAATGGTATATGGTTGAAAAATGAAAGTGTCAGTGACAATTTTATGTTAAGTCTGGTTCAGATTACATGATTTTAGCCTGATTTTGGCATGATCCGTTTAACGTAGTGTATTCGTAGGGGATTTGTAAACGACAACGGGCGTCGGGACGCAAGATTCGATCGTATCGTCTCGTATAGTGTGTCACAGTGGGCGACAACCTAACCTACCTGCAACCATCCTACGCCCATGCTTCACAACATCACAACAAAAAGACTAGCATGTTTAATTTTTTTGATGTATGAGGTTGACCAATAGGAGCACAGAAGCTTTTCCGTACACAACTTTCAAAAATGGCGAAACGAAAGAGAGACCAGGGTGCTAAAAGTAAAAGTATATAAGAAAACAATATTTTACCTCAAGTTCTCTTTGGAGGATTGACAGCCCATGCTGTCCTCTTCGAGCAATCCAGGAACGTGTCCATTGTCGGGTTTTCTTTCATTTTCTCACGCTTCATCCATTTTTTGTTTACGTTCGTTTCCAGAAGTCACTCGCTACTAGTTTCGCCTTCTCGATGACATCACGTGCCTCGTTAAAGACGGCACGCGATGACTGGTCAGGAAGCAACGTATAGTCTGACATGTCCACGACACAACAAGATTTTCGGAGTTAAAATTGCGTAATTTGACACAGTGACTATCGTAACAGACGAAAAATTTGTGTAATCTGAACCAGGCATTAGATATTCGTTTAATTAGTTAGTTAGTACACCAAATTTCTAGGTTTTTAGGGCCCGATTGAGTACACTCAGGAAAAAAGAATCTGGCTCAAGTGTTTTATAGAGTCCAGAAGACCGTGTATGCCTTCTGAAAAGTACCGCAGCCGTCTGGGTAGCTACGCTTCTAGTGATGGATAACCTTATTGCTCTGGTCCTGTTTACAATCTGTGATATCCTGCCTCTTTGATTCAAAGCTCTGCGGAAGGATGCAAACGTCTTTTTTTTTTTTTTGTGGTGGTGGCCATCCTGCTGGTAGTTCAAGCCACCCTGTCTGCTGAAAATATTTTTTTTTTTCTTCAGTTCGGCCCTCAGCTAGTGGCAGATATGTGGCCTCATCCTACAGACAGACGTTCTGAAAAATAAAGCAATAAAAATAAAAAAGCGCTGGTGCGTCTGCGCACACAAATGTGGGCCGTAAAGACATAACCCTCAAAGCTAATGGTCCAATGCCCTGGTGGCCACTGGTAGGATATCAGTGTTTCTTCACAGAACAAAGTTAACCCAGTGGATGTAAACACACCTGACCTCTGACCCCGGGCCAGCCATGTTGAAAGCTCTGGGTGAGTAATGCGGACAGTGAGTGGCATAACATGCACAGGCTCCGGTCGTACTTCAGCCGGCATGATAAAGAGACGAGAACGGTATTGCTAGGCTAAATCATCATGTAAACACCTAGGCGTGAACAAGGAGGGTCAGAACCCTATGAATTATTTCAATGTGGTGTTTGTAGAAACAACCGCACCAACTATTCATAACAGTCAGTTCTTTGTAATTAAAGTAAGTGTTATAGAGAGTAACTAAGTAGTTATGCTACTTACTTAATTTTTCAGTTGGGTGACAGCAGTAGAGTGATTCAAACTCAATGAATCAATTTGTTTGGTTCAAGAAACAGTTTATTGATGGGATTAATTTTAGTAAATTTATTCATTTGGATATTTCACAATGTAATGATCATTTAAAATGATTCAGTCCCTATGGGGACTAATATAATGTAATATACAAGGTATGTGACTGTCACTATTTTATATAATACTATTTTATATAATATATAAAAACCCTGTACCTCATCTATTTGTTTTAATAAAAAATAGTAGCTAATGCTTCAATCGCCTTCAAACTTAAATGATTCTTGGTTCTGCATCCTAACAACAGTGGTTCTCAGAGTTGGTTGAATGCTACTCTGGCAAATCAAACAGACTGTCTGTGGTGATGCAAACCCAGCTTCTTACTCCCATTACATATGCTGGGATTTTCAGGTATTGTTGTTTGTGGTTGTTTAGACTCTCCATCCCATAACACTCTCCTACCCAGCAGAAACTGTCAGTAGTTTTAGTGCTGACCCTGAGGCGCTCAGTCATGTTGACATGTTTAATAAATACTGTCTCTAGACCGGCAGATAGCATCTCTTTAGTTAGGGGAATTGGGGGGTCTTGAGGTGGGACTACTGATTCCAGAACCAGTTCAACCTACCAGTTCAACCAGTGTGTTGTGAGCACCCTCATTTTGAATCCAAACCTGTATGACTTCCCACTGACTTTCATAGCAGACAAAAATGGTTCTCCAAAATATCTTTTATGTTTCACAAAAGCCATACAGTTCTGGAATGACATGACGGTGTGTAAATGATAAATCAGTTTTCATTTTTGTGTGATCTATTCCATTTTAACAGTGTCAAATCCCTGTATGTGACATTTTGAATGTCTCGCGTTTCTAATGTGCAGAAAGACGTGTGTGCATGCTCTTTTCTAATAGCTATTCCCTGATGTGATACCGCTGCTGACCCGTGTCTGTTGTTTCCAGTGTGTTTTAGGAGCCGAGGGTCTTTCTCTGGCCTTCAGACACATTGTGAGTTCTCTGCTGTGGTACTGTTCTCAACAGAGCTCTGAAGAGCTGCTTCACGAGCTCATCATCTGCGTCGGCTACTTCACTGTCAACCACCCAGACAACCAGGTGAGATTACCTTCATTAGTGTTACATGCTAGCTGGTTTGTTTTATGAATCCATGAGGTTTTGTGATTATATATGGACGATCGGATCACAAGTAGACGAGGGAGACCGAGGGTGTTTTAATGCGTCTCTTTTTTCCACTTTCGACCACTTCTATCCTGATTTCTTCGAAGGTAATGTCTATGGGAGAGTAAATTTATGGGCTTTTTCAGATCTTTCGATCTAATCGACAAAATAAGTGCAATTTCCATATGAACGTGCCCAAAAATGACGGAAAAACATGGAGAGCAGCAGCTTTCGAGTGTCTGTTAGAAATCAGGAATGGTTAGAGAACGTAATTTGTGCTTGGTACATTTTCCAAACTTGGGTCTTCAGCCGACAAAGTTTAAATCCTGTCTGGCTAATTCCCATGTTTCCGGATTAGGTCAGTTGGTCGAGAGTACGAAAGCAATCCGGTCAAATGTGTCGAAAATGTGTCCGGTCAAGCTCAAAACGTTTTAGCAAATTTTCCATTTTAGGAAAATTTTCCAGTGTGTTTCTGTATTTGGTTGTTGTGAGTATTTGCAGTGTTTTTCTATATTTGGTTGCGTTGTGAGTATTTGCAGCGTGTTTCTGTATTGGGTTGTTACGAGTATTTGCAGTGTTTTTCTGTATTTGGTTGTAAGTATTTGCAGTGTTTTTCTGTATTTGGTTGTAAGTATTGCAGTGTGTTTCTGTATTTGATTGTTGTGAGTATTTGCAATGTTTTTCTATATTTGGTTGCGTTGTGAGTATTTGCAGTGTTTCTGTATTTGATTGTTGTGAGTATTTTCAGTGTGTTTCTGTATTTGATTGTGTTGTGAGTATTTGCAATGTTTTTCTGTATTTGGTTGCGTTGTGAGTATTATTTGCAGCGTGTTTCTGTATTTGATTGTTGTGAGTATTTTCAGTGTGTTTCTGTATTTGATTGCGTTGTGAGTATTTGCAGTGTGATCCTGTATTTAGTTGCGTTGTGAGTATTGGCAGCGTGTTTCTATGTGTGGTTGTGTTGTGAGAATTTGCAGCGTGTTTCTGTATGTGGTTGCGTTGTGAGTATTTGCAGTGTTTCTGTATTTGATTGTTGTGAGTATTTGCAATGTTTTTCTGTATTTGGTTGCGTTGTGAGTATTATTTGCAGCGTGTTTCTGTATTTGATTGTTGTGAGTATTTTCAGTGTGTTTCTGTATTTGATTGCGTTGTGAGTATTTGCAGTGTGATCCTGTATTTAGTTGCGTTGTGAGTATTTGCAGCGTGTTTCTATATGTGGTTGCGTTGTGAGTATTTGCAGCGTGTTTCTGTATGTGGTTGCGTTGTGAGTATTTGTGGTGTGATCCTGTATTTAGTTGTGTTGTGAGTATTTTCAATGTGTTTCTGTATTTGGTAATTGTGAGTATTTGCAATGTTTTTCTGTATTTGGTTGCGTTGTGAGTATTATTTGCAGTGTTTCTGTATTTGATTGTTGAGTATTTTCAGTGTGTTTCTGTATGTGGTGGCGTTGTGAGTATTTGCAGTGTGTTTCTGTATGTGGTGGCGTTGTGAGTATTTGCAGTGTGATCCTGTATTTAGTTGCGTTGTGAGTATTTGCAGCGTGTTTCTATATGTGGTTGCGTTGTGAGTATTTGCGGTGTGATCCTGTCCCAGATAGCAAACTGACATTGAATCAACGTGGAAATATGACATCGAAACAACGTTGATCTGACATTGTTTTGCTCATCGAATTAACGTTGAACCAACGTCAGATGCGTCATTCTTTCAAAACTAACGGAAAATCAACTTGAAATCAACGCGTTGTTTCAACGTTATGAAAGCAAACCAATTTTCGATTTCATTTAGCTTTGAAGAATGCCGCGTCTGACGTTGGTTCAACGTTAGTTCGATGAGCAAATCAACGTTGTTTCAATGTCATGAGAGACGTCGTTTCCACGTTGATTCAATGTCAGTTTGCTGTCTGGGGTATTTAGTTGTGTTGTGAGTAATTTCAATGCGTTTCTGTATTTGGTTATTGCGAGTATTTGCAATGTTTTTCTGTATTTGGTTGCGTTGTGAGTATTATTTGCGGTGTTTCTGTATTTGATTGTTGAGTATTTTCAGTGTGTTTCTGTATGTGGTGGCGTTGTGAGTATTTGCAGTGTGATCCTGTATTTAGTTGCGTTGTATTTGCAGCACGTGTGTTGTCTTCAGTTGCAGTGCGTTGAGCTTTCTCGCCCACCGTAAATAGGCATAGATCACTCTGCACAACAATCTAGAAACTATCTGAATCAAATCAACACTGAATTAGTAAACTTTGTGAAACACAATGCATCTAAATGAACAGCAATTCGCAAGTAGTGCTTCACGTAGTCTCACACGGCTTATTTTATCAGCGTAAAAGATCCTTTCCTCTCCGTCACTGAGGTGTGTATAATGTAGATCAAGAGCAGGTGTACTTTTCTCCTTACAAACAACCAACACAATAGCAACAAAAGGAGGCTGTTGAATAATGCAGTGACTTTGCCACCTCTGTTGGCTCTGCACTGTGTAGTAGGAACGGACATTGTTATCCTCCGCCTGGCAGTTGGCCCGTTCTTTGTTCAGTCCTGGAGGAGGGGGAAGGGAGCTGATCTAACCTGGCAGTACAGATCACAGATCAGCCTGGCATGAAGAAGTGGGAGTCCCTGATACCGTTTGCATGCATCGTTTACCTGGAAGCCACCGACTGCATGGCAGGTGTGACCACGCCACACTCGGTCGGGTTTTAGTTATGCGTTCATCACGTGGAAACCTCCTCCGTGACGTCTTAATGTCCCCTCAGGGGACGGGGAAGGGAGGGGTCAGAGTCCTCGCAATTTATGTGCTTCTAATTTAAAACATTTTTGCTCTTAATTAAAGAAACTGCCTCCTTTTTTATAGCCGTTCGGTCCTTCTGTGCTGCTGCCATCCAATTTAATTATTTTGATGTAGGCAATTAGCATTTGTTGGCCATTGTTGGGTTGATTTGCATATTATATTGGATAATTGAATGAGGGTTGATGATTGAATTAAGGGGGGGCGTGACAGATGATTGGGCTTTGTGCTCACATGGGGGAACTTAAACGTCGAGCGGGCTGGGAATAACGCCTCGTGAATATTCATATCTTCCCAGCCCACTTTGCTAATTTGAAAAATGCCAGGCTGCAAAGTCTTTAAACTTGTGACTTCCCTCCAGGACACAAGCTGCTGTTTTATGCTGCCATTTGGCTCACATCAGGGTTTACTATTAAAAACAGAACCAACACTGGCAGGTGTGCTGGAGAGAGGTGGAAAGACTGAAGTGAAGCTTTTCAGCTGAGATGCATTTTGGCCTAAATTCTTGCTGGTACGTCATATAAATAAAAAAAAATATGTTTGATACACCTACTACATGTGTGCAGCCATCACAAGCTGATGTGAGGAATTGGAACATCATTTTACATCATCAGTCTCCTGTTCGATGAGCTGATGAGTCCATCCCATTTCTACCCAATGTTCCATTTAAAAACACATTTTTGAACACATTAGTTGAATCGTAACATTTATCAGCATCAATATTGAACGTTTCCGTTTTTATGAACGTATAAATTGTGTATCATCGGTATTGTAGCTGGGTTGTTAACATACATACACACCTATTGATCACTTTGTTTCCTTCACTATTATTATGGGCTCTTGTTTTTCTTGCATTTATCTTCCATTATTATCTTCCATTTGTCTTTAAATTATTATTTATTCTATCCTTTGTCATTTTTCCATCTCTCTCTCTCTCTCTCTCTCTCTCATGTGTGTTGAATTGATCAAAAGTGTTAGTGAAGAAAGACTTGCACTTTGTCTTTTAAAGAATGCTGAAAAATACACAGAAATATTAAGCAGCACAAGCAGTTTTATATTAAAATTGGTTTTATATTTAATATTAAGCAGTTTTTTAACATTGATAATAAAAAATAACTCTTGAGTACCATATATATATACAGTATATATATATATATATATATATATATATATATATATATATAAACTATACATATAAAACATTTTAAATTGTAATATTTCAATATAATTGTTTTTACTATATTGTTGATCAAAAAAATGTAGCATAAGAAATTCGAAGAAATAAAATAAAAACTACCCAAAACTTTGAATGGGAGTGTGTATAAACACATTATATATAAATGTTATGTATAGTCTTTAGCATATAGTTTTTATTTTGATGGAGAAAATGACAAGGCAGAGAAAAATGACTACTATGGATGCCTGCTAAATTTCAAAATCAACCACATTGAGTAATTTTCTCTTCCTTGTTATTTTTCCCATCAACTAAATATACAGTATGCCTGCAGCAACACCAACCAATCGCGAAAAGCACTTCAGCACATTTACTCTGAATTAAATGACATAAACATCAGCGTAGGACTTGGCACTGCGGCCCCGCCCCTCTCCAGTCGGATACTTGCCAGTGTCAGGGGCCCTGGTATATATCCACACGGCCCTCGTACAGGATAAATGGAGACGGGAGCGGGAATATTTGACTTTTTCAGACTAATGTAAGCACTGGCAGAAGACAAAGACGGCGCTGACCCTGCTCTGTCTCGCAGCGATTCAGCCAGCCTGTGTTTACATGTGTGCATCTGAGAAATAATGCAGCTCATAAAGGCAGGGGAAAAACTACTGGGGGACATTTGTTCTTTCCACATGGATATTATTCAGACCCTCACCCACAGAGCCCATTTGGAGTGTTAGATGTGGAGTCAGAGCTGATAGGAAGTTTGTTTGTACTCAAGGGGGGCATAAAGGCTTTTGAATGATGGCCAACAGCAAAGAGAAATTCCTTTTTAATATGGTTTAAAGTCAACATGAAAACAACATTTAGCCTGTTGACTATTTTAACACACATTCCTGCTCTTATTGTGAGCAATTCTTCAGAGAATGTCTTTCTTTGTTTGAAATTTAAAATGTCTTTGTAATCTTCCATCAAAGAAATGATTTTGTAGTTT